GCACGTTTGGGGGCCGGCGGCCCCCGTCCGGGGGGGGTCGGACCCCCCTGTGGACAGAAAGGTGGGAGTAGGGGAGCCTGCCATGAAGCAGCCTCTGTCCACGTTGGGCCCAAGCTCCCCATGGGCAGAGGCAGCATTGCAGGACGGCAGGCAGCTGGTCTGTGTGGGGAACTGGTTTTTGAACTGGCTCCCCTTGCTAACTGACTCTGCCTGCCATCCCATGTTGCATACAGAGGCAACTGCATGGAGTAAAGGGGGCTCCCTGGGAGTGGCCCCAGGAGCATACTGGCTGCTGCCCCTGCCCCTGGAGACTATCAAATAGTCTTGTAGCTGCTAAGATTTCATGTGGTTACATGACTGTTCAATTTACATGATATCTAAAATCCCTGTCAGGAATGTGAATATTCTGCACCTCTGAATGACATAGACCAAGTCTGAGGAAGTTAACCAGACTTTAAGAAGTGCTCTGTGTAAGCTCAAAAACTTCTCTGAGCAACAGAAGTTGGTCCAATAAAAGATATCCCCTCAGCCACCTCTAATTACCCTGAGCCCTGGTCTACTTTACAGAGTTAGATCAACGTAAGGCTCCTTATATCGATTTAACTGTGTACATGTCTTTACTAAAACGTCAGTCCTACTCAGTGTTCTATCTTATTTTTGAATTCCATGTGCAGAATGACTTATGTGCACCAAAATGGAAGTAATGCATCACCTCCATATTGGTGCACATAACAAAAGTCATTCCACACATAGACAATGTGTGGTGGAGTTGAAGGATTGAGGTGTGGGAGAGGGCTCAAGACTGGGGCAGAAGGTTGAAGTGTGTGTGAGGAGGTGAGGGCTGTGGCTGGGGGTGCAGGCTCTGGGGTGGGGCTGTGGATGAAGAGTTAAGGGTACAGGCTGCCCTGGGGAGAGAGGACTCCTCCCTGCTCTCTCTCACCACAGCTACTTCAAGTCAAGTGAGAGGCCCCTCTTTACTGCTCCAGTGGGCAGATACAAGCTAGGGTAGGTACAGGCTAGGCTCGGTGAGGGCCAGGGAAGGGGGGGTACTTTTCCTCTGGCCATAGCAGTTTTGGGATAGCTCTGTGTGAGGGTTTGGCAGGGAGAAGCGCCTCTGCCCTTGCTGTGGCAGTTTCAGATTGGAGCTGGTGGGGAGAGGTGCCTCTCCCCTAGCCGTAACAGCTTCAGAGCTTGGGAAGAAGCATCTGTCTCCACTGTAGCTGTTAGTCCCTGCGCACTGCTTAATAGTCAGTTGTGCATCCTCACAGCTTAAAGGGAACTTGGCTTCCTGCTCACATTACTCGCCTACTTCACTGACTTAACTCCACCTCCACAAGAAGCATAGAGTCAATGTTGATGTAGTTAGGTTGATGCAATGTCAGTATAGTCACTGCAGGGCTTACATCAACTGTTGCTGGCCTTCAGGAGCTACCCCACAGTGTCCCAGTTCAAATAGTGCAAGCGCTCCTCCTGAAGACGCACATGGCTAACACAAGGACCAAATTGTAGACACAAGCAATGTAATTACTGTAGGAGCAATATGCCGATGTAACTTAGGTTGACTTAATTTTGTAGTGTAAACATTTCCTAAGAAATTCATTCTACAATTGACATATGAGAGTTTGTTTAACGCGAGACCTAATTTCATTTTTTTGTTGTTGTTCCTGTATTTTAGGTGTAAATGTCCCTGAAATTCCTTGTATCCCAATGCTGAGGCATCTTTATTTGAAGTGGGTGAGGCTCACCAAACCACAGCCCTTTAAAGATTTCCTTTGTATCAGCTTACGCACTTTTGTCATGAGGAATTGTGCAGGTAGGAGAAAAGAGAATCGTTCTTGGGAAGGGATGCATCTACACAAGAAGAAACTAGTACTAATACAGTAGTAGTGAAGCTGCCTTGGTGGTAGACTACAAAAGGATACTAGCTCAGAACAGTTTTCATAACATAATGATAAAAATGTTTAGCCATCTATTGTAGCACTTACATCTGTACAGCTGCACAATTTCTGGCAGTTTCTGTACTAAGTTTTCTAGTGCAGTTAAGGCCTTGGGATTGCCCATCATGCAGTACTCCAGAAGCAATCAAAGACTTTATTTCATATTTGATAATAGGAAAAAATTCTCCTATGCTGTATTGAGCTGTTAAGTTAATAAAACACCACTAGTTTTTAGTTCTGATGGTTTGCTAAACTGGAGAGGTGCAGGCAGGCATATCTGATGGCTGAATTGTTTGAATAATGTATTCAGTACCATTAAATGAGCAACTTTCTATGTATATATTCCCTATCAGAAGTTGTTTTTTTCTCTGCAGGACCAACAAATTCTTTGAAGTATGTTCCCTTGGTGACAGGTTTGGCTTCTGCCCGAAACCTGGAGCATTTAGAACTAGTTAGAGTTCCTTTTCTTGGAGGACTTATCCAGCATGTAGTAGAAGATAGCTGGAGATCAGGTATACAACTTCCTACTGCCTTGAAGCATAGAACAAATGATGGGCAACACTTTTGTTCTTTAGCTTGTTCTTTCACTTGTATGTTTTAGCTATATTCAAAGGATGTTAATTATGGACTTTTGTTGTATTTTGGGAATTGTTTTAATCTTGTATGTATAAATATATACCTTTATGACACATTTTTTATGCAAGTACTGAAAACAAAAGCTGAAGTTAAATTGAACATGTATTTCTATAACAATGAAAACTGTTAAAGAATTGCCCTCTCTTAATATTCCAACCAAATGTGAATCTTTACTATCAGTTCTTTTCTAGATGGTAGAACTGGCAGGAATAATTTGGAGGAAATTTTTTTTTTTTTAAATTAGCTTCTTGAGAAACTTCTGTTGTAGTAATCAGGACTATCTCTACCAGCAGGTGTTAACACAAGGAAACTTATATATATGCTTTAAAATGGCATGTATTCTTGTTATTACTTGAAATACTCCATTGGCAAAATAACACCAGGAAAGTGAGTAATTTTTAGTGACCCATTGACTAAAGTGAAACTTTTCTTTCCCCCGATAAGGTGGTTTTAGGAATTTGCACACTATAGTTTTGGGAGCTTGCAAAAATGCTCTTGAAGTAGATCTTGGCTACCTCATCATAACTGCTGCACGAAGGTACTTGCTTTCCCCAGCTTTTGTTATTCCTTTCTGTTTTCTGTCTCTTCAAATTTATTACATTACATTAGGTAATGTAATGAATTTCCCAGCGTTTGAAGAAGTTGTTTTACATATTTAAGAGAAAAACCAAGTGAATTTTTACAGTCTAACAAGAATTTCAAATGACTAGAGGAAGGGACTGGGAATTAGATTCCTGGGTTTTTGTTATTAGATCTGTCACTGACTTGTTCTGTGGCCTGACCCAAGTCACTACACTTTGTCATATGTAAAATTAATATAATAATATTTTTCTCAGTGAGGTTTAATTAGTGTTTATAAATTGCTTGGAATTCCTCACAGGTTATAATTAGGGATGTGAAAGGTTAACCGGTGGGAACTGGAGCAGCTCCTGCCTGCAATGCACCCAGGCCCTTCCATCCTCCCTTTAATGGATTAACTGGTTAGACATAACATTTCACCAGTAACCCAATTAAATAGGATTTTACAAAAAACTGTTAGAAGGAAGAATGCAGGAATTCACTAATGTTCATCACTGTCTAATAAATATTTTCAGTTAATTGCCTAGAGTGGAACAGATGTATTTTTCACTCAGATGTATTCTGTACTAAACAGTGCTTTGTTGCTTCAGTTTATAGCTTTTTGCCTTGAACGTGAACTGTACTTGATTGCTTTTAGGTTGCATGAAGTGCGAATTCAACCTTCCCTGACCAAAGATGGTGTCTTTTCTGCACTGAAGATGGCAGAACTGGAGTTCCCACAGTTTGAAACCCTTCATCTGGGATATGTTGATGAGTTTTTGCTACAATGTATGAACTTTTTCTTAAATTACCTGGTGAGGGTGAGAGTAGCACAAATTGATAGGTTTAGTGTATTTTTCTAAGATGTACTTTTGACAGAATGTAAATAACTATTGCTCTTGGATCTTCTTGTATATATTTTTTTCTGTAACTCCTGAAACTTCTATTGTAATTTGAGCAGAAACTTTTTGTCAAATTTGTTGTCTGATATTTGTGCTAAAATTACACATTGCATATTATAGTATGGAATTTGGGGAGGACAAAAATGCTGCAATTTCTGAAGGGGCATATTGCTGAAATCTTCTATTGTCTTTCTGTAGGCAAAATGACTAATGGGGACTTAGTAAAGTATGGCTTAGCTGATGTGGTTGAAAATCCAGGAATCATCACAGACATTGGAATGAAGGCTGTAAATGAAGTATTCTCTTGCATCAAGTATCTGGTCATTTACAACTGCCCACATCTGCACAATCCAAACAACTGGATCACAGGTATTGAATGCTTTTGGAATGATAGAGATACAATCTAAACATCTCGCATCAGGATGAAGACTTATAGTTAAACTTGTTTCAGAACATGAACATAATAACCCTCTAATTAAAAGAAACATTTGAGACCAAAAAATAGTCAGATTTCTTTTTAAAGGTTTAGTAGTTTAGTGCACGCCTTCTGTGTGCGTGTATTTAATATTTACACCCAGGGGCAATCCCTGACCGGAGCAGTTGCACAATACAGCCCTGAAGTTATGTTGGGGTGAGGAGAAGCTTATCTGTTCCATCCCCAAAACACCACCCCTTCCTGCCATATCCCTGCCCTCTCCCCCAATGGCACCTGGCAGCTGGGGATGTGTGCTTGCGGATTACTGGGGAGCCCAGCACAGTGAATACACTTGTACCACTTCCCCATGGCTCCTGCTGCTGCAGGTAATGCTGGGGGGCCCAATTGCTCCTGCCACCAGCCCCTCTGGTAGTTCCTGAGGCCACATCCCTCAGAGGATAGGGTGCCATGGGAGGAGAAGGCAGGGCGATGGCACAAAAGTGTGGGACTTGGGAGAGAGAGGGGGGAACAGACAGCCTCCGGCCCACCAAATTGCACAACTGCTCCAGCTGGGAGCCAGAGTTTGAGACTCCTGATATACACACAAGCAGAATATTGTTAATTTGCACTGAAGATCAGGAAAGTAGTTTGCAAATTAATAAGTGAGAAATACAGTGAAATAGTACATTATGTAAAATGCTGACATTCCTTATTAAATAAAGCCCAATTTAAAAGTGTTCACAATACTTCATTGTGCTTTAACTCTGACCTTGCAGGACCAGGTCTGGTGGTGAGAGTGTGTTTGTGTGTCTATGGCTAATTCTGCTCTGGTCCCCTTTCCTGAGAGTTGAGGAGAGCAAATTAATGCTAATTATTATAATGATTATTGTGATGTGGATGTTTGTCTATTAAGAGCCAGACTGAGACTACAAATTCTTTTCATATAGGTCATGAACAATCCTTGTAGATATGCGCTATATTTAGACTGTTTACAGAATGATGAAAGTAACACAGTTTGTGTGTGACCAAAATTATCTCTTTTCCCTGTCTTCATTTTAAAACACTGGTTGGGCAAAGAAAACCCCAAACAGAGAGAGAGCTCTAATAATGATGGAAAGTTTTTCATAATTCTGCTACCTGTTCTGTCCCAAATAAGCAAAAATGGAGATGCAGAAATTTGGGACTCCAGTGATGCTGATAAACTTCAGCTGTCAGAGTGGTGGCAGTGGAAGTTTGAGTCTCAAATCTGGGAAAGTTCTAATGAGAGATAAAAAAGACTTGGAAATTCTTCAAGGAACATGAGTGTGTGTATATATATATCTACTTCCATAGACCATTCAAGATGGACCCGGCTAGTTGACCTCACGCTGGTGCGATGCCATGCAATAAAGCTAGATTCTTTCAGTCAATTCATTGAATTACTGCCAAGTTTGGAGTTTATCTCTCTGGACCAGATGTTCCGGGAACCTCCTAAGGTAAGTTTCTCCGTGTGTGTGTGCGCGTGCGCCCTACACTCACCAATTCCCCTCTTGCAGGGGTTAGGCAAGCCCAGGCCCCTTCTCCCTCCCTGCCTGGGCCTTTTCTTTCCCCCCACCTATCCCCTTGCCACAGACTAACCCTGCTACCCCCGCCATGGCAGGCCCAACCTTCTTCCCCGCCAGTTGCCTGGGGGGATTGGGGCTGGACTGAAACCGCGGCCCAGCCAGACCCAGCCCTCCTCTTCTCTCCTCGGCCTTCAGGGGGTTGGACTGGGCCAAAGCCATGGCCAGGCCTGGCCCTCTCCCCCAGACCTTTGGAGGGTTGGGCCATGCCGAGGCCACGGCTGGTCCCTCTCTTCCTCCCCCCAGCTCCAGGGAGGTGTGGGGGCAGCCCCTGATCTCTCCCCACAGCAGTGTAGGGGAGGGGCACTTTGAGATCTTGCCAGGCCTCCCCTCCAACCCCCCCCAGCTGCAGCACCTTCTGCTCCCCACTGAGGAAGGGGGAGTGGAAGGAACCCCATGGATCATGTTTTCCGCCCCACCCAGCACAGGGGGAAGGAGAAGGGCTGTGCAGGTCACGGCTGCCGTCCCGCCCCACATACACTCCCCGGAACTCTGGGGAGACCTCTCAGGAGGGTCTGGCATGAGCCTCACTGGCCCTTCTTTCAGCTGGGAAGGGGAGCCCTAGCCCTCCACATGGGCAGCCCCAGCCCTCCATATGGGCGGGGCTTTTCCTATGGGATACACTCTGTTGTCCTGCAGGAAAAACTTTTTTATAGGTTTGGGAAGAAATAGTTCAGTGAGTGACTTGGGAATACAATGATTACCATAAGAGATGTTTCTGTTAAACAGCGGTGGGGAAACTTTTTTTGATCAGGGGCCACTGACCCACAGAAAAATCAGTTGGGGGCCACACATAAGTGAGAAGCAAAGTGAGACATCCCTAAATGACAAGGAGAAAGACACTCCCCATGTTCCCCTTGCAGATCAGAACCAAGAGGGACCCAAACTACTAGCTTTCGTGTGCTCCAGCCCTGTGGGTGGGTGGCTGGAGGGGCTGGAGTGCCAACATGGGCTCCCAATGCTGCGCCGGGGGCAAGCCGGGGGCCGGATCCAGGCAAGCTGGGAGCCACATCCGGCCCCTGGGCCTGAAGGTCCCCGCCCCTGCCCTAAATATATGCTCTGAAGTTCTGTGGACTCTTGTTATGCAGGAGGTCAAACTGGAGCAGGCCTGCAGGTTGCCCAGCTGGGACCCTCAGGCACAGAGCAGCCTCCCACTTCAGAGCTGCCCCATGCCACTTAAATGGCTGGCTGTTCCCTGTGTCTTTCTGCTTAGGGCGCCAGGGAGAGACTTTTTCCCCCTATTGACAAAACTGCATATTGTAGTAAATATTCTTATGGTTTTGCAGCATGGTAAAGTTGTGGTACTATTCCTCACGTATGTGAATTCATATCATATTGATTTTCTGATCTTTGTTTCCCCTTTCCATCACCCTCCCTTCCCCATTGTTAAATTTTCACAACTGTGACAATGTACTAAATACATTTTAATGCAAAGATTATTCCGGAAAACTCTCTAGGGCCTCTCCCATTCTTGAAAGGAAATAGAAACACTTCTTCTAGATTTTCTTTCATTTGATCCTATGCGTTACAATTTCTTACCATAAGGTTGTGCTATTGCCTTTTACATTTTTCATTTTTAATACCAGTTTAAAAGAGGAAAGGTAAAAGTTTACATTTGGCAACCAAATATGCAGTCTGTGCAATGTAGGTACAGGAATTTTTGTGCGCAGATCCTACTCCATATCACACATCATATTACCTAGTCAGAAATATCGATACAATGGGTTTTTTTTATCAGTGTTATCATACATTATGGAGATTTGATATAGTCATTTTGAATCTTCTTGTGTTTTTGTTTATTTCAGGGCTGTGCTCGTGTGGGCCTGAGTGCTGGCACAGGGATTGGTGTTTCATCTGCTTTGGTCAGCAATCAGAACTCCAACAATGACAATGACAACAACAACAACCACCAGAACAACAACAACCCCAACATCCACCACAACAATCACCAACACCTAAATGACCAGAATGAGGAGAATGAGCTGCGGCAAGATGGGCAGGTGGAAGAACAGCAGATTGCAGCTGAGGGTAACCACTGATCTTTTGTGAGCCTCTGAAAGAAATGATCTTATTTTGCATTTGCATGTATTGAAAGGCACTCTAAATCCATAGTTTGATAGCTATGCTGTTTATTTCCTTTATTTGGTATCTATCTATAAGACCAAGCTAGGAATGTCAATGTGTAGTCAACTACACAATTAATCGGTTAATCTTTTCAACTACATGCACTCTTCCCTCCCCCGCTGCCTCTCTATCAGAGGTAGCGAAGGAATAGGAGAGAGAGCCAGTGCCCATGAGGAGCTGGCTTTAAGCGGACTCCCAGTGAGCATGGATCTGCTGCCCCATCCCTGCACTGCTGCCTCTGATAGAGAGGCAGCAGCATGGAAGGTGAGTGGAGGGTAGGCTGGAGCCAATACACATGGGGAGCCAGCTTTCAAGCAGGCTCCCTGTGCATGCCAGCTCTGCAAACCTGCCTGCCTCCTTTGCCCCCACTGCTGCCTCCTACAGAGGCAGCGAGGGGGCCTGGCAGGAGCTGGTGCTGGGGGGAGCCAGCTTTAAAGCTAGTCCCACCCAGCACCATCTCGGTGGTGCCACCTGCCTCTATCAGAGGCAGCAGCATGGGTGGGGAGGAGGCTGCCGTGAAGCAGCCTCTGTCTGCTGCTGCCACCCTATACTGCTGTTTTTGTATCACCAGGCAGCCAGTCTGTATGAGGAGCTGGTTTTTAAACTGACTCCCTGGTGGACCAGCTCCCGCTTGCCACCCTGCACTGCTACCTCTGTGAGCTAAGGGGTTCCCTGGGAGCGGGGACTATCAATAGTCGTGTAATCACATGAATTCTTAGTGGTTCCACAACTATTCAATTACCTAATATCTGGGGGTACGTCTACACTACAGGTTAATTCAAACTAACAGCCGTTAGTTGGAATTAACTTTAATAGCGGCTATACATACAAACCACTAGTTCGAATTTAAATCGAACTAGCGGAGCACTTAATTCGAACTAGGTAAACCTCATTCTGCGAGGAGTAACGCCTAGTTCGAATTAAGTATAGGCAGTCCCCGGGTAACGTACAAGATAGGGACTGTAGGTTTGTTTTTAAGTTGAATTTGTATGTAAGTCGGAACTGGCATCCAGATTCAGCCGCTGCTGAAACTGACCAGCAGCTAACTACAGGAAGCCTGAGGCAGAGTTGCTCTGCCCTGGGCTTCCTGGAATCAGCCGCTGATCAGTTTCAACAG